TCACCGTATAGAGACAATGGATGACGAGTAGAGGCAGTAGGAGCACAAAGTACAGCACATTTTGATGGTTTCCACCTGTAGCCAAGAGAGAACGAGTGATCTGAAGCGATATCCAACATGGTTTGCACATCAGTACGAGAGCCAAATATGGCCACATCATCAGCAAAGAGCAGGCTATTCACGCAAACACTAGGCATCCCAGGTGGTGATACCATAGTACCGCGACTGACAGCAGAACGAAGAACAGCAGGCAGAGAGTTGATGTACAGAGAGTACAAGTGAGGGCTGAGCACTGAACCCTGCAATACGCCAGTAGCAGGCGAAAAGGGAACAGAGGTGTGATTTGCAATCAACACAGACACGAGTACATCATCGAACATGTGGATGAGCAAACTGAGAACTGAACGAGGCAGAGAGGAACGAGAGAGAGCATCCCAAATCACTCGACGATCCACGGTATCATACGCTGATTTGATGTCTAGGAAAGCAACCACAGGTAGTGGTGGTGGTGAGGAAGTAGTCGTGCATCAAGTCATGTAAACAGAGGGCTTGATCCAGAGGACTACGCTGTGGGCGAAAGCCACCTTGAGCAACATCAAGTGCAGGCGAATGTTCATCAAGAGCAGGCATCAGAGAGAATTCGAACAATTTACGCATCACCGAAGTAAGCGAAATTGGACGAAAGTTTGCAGGATCAGATACATCACCTTTCTTGTAAATGGGAAAGACTTGAGCATGTCGCCATAGGGCTGGTGTATACGACCACTGAGAGCAGAGTGTAAAGAGCAGAGACAATACGGGTGCAATGTCAGATGCTAGAGCCTTCAGCATTTCAGCTTTCAAATGATCAGGACCAGGAGCTTTCCCATTTGGCAAACGCTTAATGAGGGAGACAAGTGTATCAGCATCAAATAGACCCAAATCAGCGGTGGACACATCATAAGGCAAATCAGAGAAATTGGACGGAGCAGCAAGGCGAGACGCATTATTCAACAGGGAGCCATCATAGACAGAGGCAAGATGGGACGCCATTGTGTTGACAGAGGCAGTTGGACCGTCTGGATGACTGTACGTTGCAGAGCATTCCTTGTTTCTTTTAATGCGCTTGATTGCAGCAGTAGCTTTCGAAAAATCCTTTTCCAAATCAGAGCAAAACTGATTCCACGATCGACGCTTAGCAGCTTGTACAAGAGAACGAAAACGCCTGTGAGCAGCTTGATAGAGATTCCATGTTTCGACTTTGGCAAAACGACTTGCCCACCTCCATCTACTATACATAGTATCTCTTTCACGAGCAGCATCCTCAATTTCCTGTGTCCAGTACTTTTTCCAGTGGCCAGGACGACCAGATTTCACACCAATTGAGCTATCCAGAGATTCATACAAACATTGATTCAAAGAATCGTTGATTGCATCAATATCTGGACAAACACCAGGGGGAGCAGACACCAAACCAGAGAGAGAAACCAACCAAAGGAGCAACAGAAGTTCGAAAGGATTCACGAAGCAAGCCCAAAAGGCCGCTTTTTCCTCAATTTCGAGAGCTTCCATTGCCGTCTAGGGGCCAAACCACCAGAGCTACCAGAACCAAGAGTATCATCGGGAGGGGGCACATACTCGAAAGTAAGTACCATCAGCCGATGATCAGAGCCAAGAGACAGATCAGATTCAACCACCAGTTGAGGATGTAACAGAGCAGCCTCGCCAATGTTTGTAAGAAACAGATCAATGATGCTATGAACCTCTTGTTGACGTCGAAAAGTTGTGAATGTGGGTGTACCAAATGCTAAAGACTCATTGAGAATGGAAAAAGAGGACTCCTCCAGCCATGGCAGTAGTGAGGTACCACGAGGATTAGCATTAGTATCACCCAGTAGAGATCCAAAGCGAGCATTGAAATCACCACAAAGGATGGTATCACTGGTTACGGGTAACGAGCGAAGAAGCGAGAGCACCTTATCCGAAGATAAGGGTGGAGGCAGATACACACAATGAACCGTAAGGGTGCCAACCTTAAGGGACAAAGTGTGTGCATTGTAAGACGGAAGTTGAGAGACAGAGAAAGGACAGGAAGGAGAGACAAAGGCAGTAATGCCACCAGAACCACGGTTAAATGCACCAGGTACTTTAGAGCCATAGAGGTGGAATTGAGACCAGTTAGTAGGGAAAGAACCAGAGGTTAGCCAGGTTTCAGTGACAAGCAGTACATGAGTGTTCTGAACATGATGGAGAACATCATGTACTGTTGATTGACGTAGACCATTGGCATTCCAAAGGGAGAGAGAGACTTGAAAGGAGTGGACTGGGTTGTTATTGGGAGTATGACTAGTAGCTATGTTACTCATTAGAGTTCCATAGCAGAGCCATTGCTGTCATGATCTTCCTTTTGACGCTTGAACAAGAATTTAGCCTTTTTGGGCTCCTTCTCGGCAAGACGACCGATAGCTTCAGAGACGGCTATATCTAGCTCTTCTTGAGAGATCCAGCCAGCAGAGACAAAGTATTTGCCAACGCCACTAACGTTGAGTGGACGAAGGAAAGAGAGGGTTTGCAGAGCACGGGTGTTGGTGAATTCATAGATCAATTGCTCACGCTCTTCAATGGCAAGATCAGCATATTTGGGATCAGCAATGTTGTTGGGATCCAAGGGTTGAAAGTTTTCAATGTGATCAGCTTCACATTTGCGCATACAGGCGAGAAACTCCTCTACATATTGGATGTGGAGCAAGATGCCAATGACGCCAGTGGCAGGGAAACAGATGTCTAACACACGGCCAGTATCAATACCAGCTCGGCGAAGTTGGTAACGAACCTCAGAGCGCAGGATTTTACCAGAGCGGCCTAGATACACATACTGGTATCCTTGTTGACCTTTGGTGGTGGCGGTTTGGAACATACGACCTGCAGCAAGACGTCGCTTGGTAGTACGGGCAGGGTCACGATGTTGGGCACCTTTACGGGCAGCAGATGCGTAGCTACCTTGAGTAGCATCGGGTTGGTGAATAGTAACAAGCTCTTGGGTTGGTGTTACCTGAGAGCTGGATTGAGCACCTTGATTGGTGCGGCGGGATGAGAGTTGGCCCTGTAATTTTTCAATTGCAAGGTCCTTGGCCTGTAACTGATTTTTCAATTCTCCATTTTCCTTTTCCAAAAGGTCCAGGCGAGCAAGGAGATTGTCATGTTGCTGTACTCGCTCGGTGAGAGAGACCAGTTGTTGCTGTTGTTGTTGAACAGTTTGGATGAGCTGATTCAAATCCATAGATTGCTGATTATTGTTGAGCATGGCTGAAAATATTCTATCAAACTTTGGAGATTCAATAAAATATGAAAAAGATGTCCAACAAACTGGAAGTTATAACACAATGTACGTTGACTAAATGCAAGTAAACTGGTACAACTGAAGGCTAGTTGGAGTGTTTGTTGTCGAGATAAACCGCTTTTATAGTGAGGAAATACTTTTTACCGGGGGAAGGTGGCAAAAAGTGATGAAAAACGGAAAGAGATGGGGATGTAGCTCAGGCGAAAATTTATGGTTGTTTATTGATTACAATGAATTAGCAATGTAAAAAATACAGACTTATATGCATGCGATCTTTGGATCATTAGTTGCAAGTCCTGAGAAGCGACGTACAGCAAAAAAGCTTAAATTAATAGTTTGATCTCCATGCAGGAACAACATGCAAGTGTCCAGAAAAGGGAAAAAAGGTCCTAAACCAAAAATTAAACTGGTAAAAAAAGAAGTACAGGCAGGAAAAAGGAGTAAAACAAGTGAGATAAAAGGGTAGAGAATAAGAAGCTATGGTGTATGAGAAATGCAATTGAGGATACCTCGATGTTCAGACAGCAGCACAGACAAAATAAACCCACAGACCTCAGTGGCACAAAAAAAGCAAGAAAAAAAAGGAGAAAACGAGGCATTTGCATTTAGCAAAATGAGTAGAGAGACAAAGACCAAACGAGAAAGAAGCAGAGAAGGAGGACAAAGTGAATACGGACACTACCACAAAGGCAGCAGAAACAGAAACAATGAGAGTGGGAATGAGAGAGCAAAACGATTTCAACAACAAGGTGTCAATCAGTTATCAGAAGGCTCTGACATTTCAAAATCCTTGGTAGCAGAGAGAGTTGGGGAGACAGCATAAGCCAAAAGAGAGGCAGTTTCAGCATCATGATGCAAGAGGTAGCCAAGATAACTCAAACGTTGTTTCTTGGCTAAACGCTCTTGATCAGAGGATCGGGATGGTGGTTTAGCAGCAGCAGAGGAGGAGGAACGAGCAAGCATTTCTTCTTTCAAAATGGCATCAAATTGGGCTTGGTTGATGCGATCATACAAAAGAAAAGAACGAGCAACAGAAACACGGACAGAGCGACGGACAAAAGACAGCGAACGAAGGCAGCGAAGGTTTTCGACCTCAATGGCCTTTTGGACACGCAGATCACGAGAGAGAGAAGCAAATTTGGGATCTTTGAGATTGACTGGATCACATGGATCAAAGTCAATCAACGGAGAAGAGCCACGACCATGTAGATGCATGGCTTTGGTGAGGGTGAGAACATAGTCGTTGTGAACAAGGAAAGAAATCACATTCTGTACAGGATATTGAATATCCAGCACACGAGAGTTATTCAATCCTACGCCTTGAACAAGGCGACGCAGCTCAGAAAGACGACGGCGGACAGGAGTAGCATAGTACACAAATTGATAACCAGATGGTATATCACTTTGAGGAGCAAAAAGACGAGCAAGAGTAGCGGATGCCTTGGTGGCAGATGGAGGAGGACGAGCAGCAGGCTTCTTCTTACGCTTTGCACCTGCATTGGATGCAACGACGGCAGCAAAAGATGGTTGTGCTGTAACTTGAGATTGGGAGTAGCTGGGGGTAGACTTGGAGGCAGATGTTGTTGATGGTGGTGTTGGAGTGTTCGACGATACAACGTCTATGGTGGTGGGAGCAACATTGGTGGTGGATTGAGCGTTGATAGCTGCCAATTGAGCCGCAAGGGCGTCTCTAGCAGCCTCTGATTCAGCCAGGGCTGTTTTCAACTGCGCAATTTCAGCATGGGCAGATTCTAATCTGCTCAAACGATGTCTGACCTCAACCATAAAGGTCGACAACGCAGTTTGATCAGTGGCCGAAGCAGGTGGGAGGGAAGTGAGACCAAAGTCAATCGAGTTGGGGTCAACATCGATCGAAGATGTGAAATGAGATGCTTTGGAGAGGTCTTGAGGTTGCATTTTCTTTGCTTTTAAATGTTGAGAGATATCAGCAGCAAAGAAAGGTGGAGAGAGGGTTGAAATTGGCCTTTTTTGACCGGACGAAAGGGTGTCAGCAGGTGTAATCTTATTAAAAGTGTTTTGCTCGGTTATGGTATTGATATAGCAAGTACTTGATGAGAGATGATGGGTTATAGGAATCTTCGATATAATTCGGGCTATGAAAGTATATAAAAAATTCTTTAGCGGAAAGAAAGGTGGGGATGTAGCTCAGTTTAACGTTGATTTTTATTATATACATGAATTCAATGGGCACTCGATGGGAGCATTAGCCTAGAATTCTAGAAACAAAAGAGTAGCAGGTACAAAAAACCCTTAAGGGGACACTAACTAAGAAAAAGGGAAAAAGGAAAGTGTGGTAGTGGCAAAGGAGCGGCATGAATACTGGTATTGTTGATTTGATCTGGAGGAATGACCAACGGATGGGAACTTTGATAATTACTTACCACCGTGGCATCGCACCGAGAAAGCAAAAACAACAAACGTTCATCAATGAGCAGAAAACCAGAGCGATCCAGGATCTGGATCTGGTGGGATCACAGCCAGAGGATGCACAAGGCAATCAATGGCATGCAACAAAAGGAGCAAAGCAGACCAAAAGTACGGTGGACCAGCTGAAGCTTTGTCTGGAAGACAGTTCAGAGCATGGTCAATGCGATGTACACCAGGTGGAGCAGGTGGCAAAGCATCAAAAAAGGTACGATCCAGAGCACGACATGTCAGAAAGTGATCTCGGGAGATAAACTCACCGGTAGTGCACGGACATTCTTCACGCATATTGGTGAAACGTCCAAGACGCCACCGCACAAGACGACTACGAGCAGATCGACCAATAGGCAGATACAGGATGGGATCTGGACGAGAGACAGACGGACGACAAGCACGAAGGAGAGTCTGAGCACCAGAAACAGCAGCAGCAGCAAGTTGACGATCTACTTGATCTTGCCAATACGAATCAAAGACTTCAGTAAGACCAGCAGTGGTGAATGGCGGCGGATCAGGCAGTGTTAGATACAACGGGTTTTGACAGATAAATCTGTCTAGACGAGTGTACAGTAAACCACGACGAAGCAGAACCAACAAGCAATCATCAGGGAGAGTATCAGCACGAAGGGCATAACGTGTTGTCAGAACGTTATATCGATGCTTCATGCTGGGAAGACAGGTCAAATGTTTGGCAACATTGTACCATGTACTACCAACAAACATACCAACCAATCGATTTTGCAGAGCATCAAGAGCCTTGAAGTCACGGAAAGAGAGATGAGATATAGCTAAGCCGTATTCCAGTTTGGGACGAATAAAGCTTTTATACAAACGAGCACAAAGCAACAGAGAAAAACCATTTCGATTGACACCAACCGAATTTAACAATGCCATTGTCTTGATAGCACCAGAAGCACGCAGATTGAGAATCCCAGGGGCATACAGACCTTTATATCTAAACGGCATACCAAGATACGTGAATTCCTCTACCACAGGAAGAGGTTCACCGTATAGAGACAATGGATGACGAGTAGAGGCAGTAGGAGCACAAAGTACAGCACATTTTGATGGTTTCCACCTGTAGCCAAGAGAGAACGAGTGATCTGAAGCGATATCCAACATGGTTTGCACATCAGTACGAGAGCCAAATATGGCCACATCATCAGCAAAGAGCAGGCTATTCACGCAAACACTAGGCATCCCAGGTGGTGATACCATAGTACCGCGACTGACAGCAGAACGAAGAACAGCAGGCAGAGAGTTGATGTACAGAGAGTACAAGTGAGGGCTGAGCACTGAACCCTGCAATACGCCAGTAGCAGGCGAAAAGGGAACAGAGGTGTGATTTGCAATCAACACAGACACGAGTACATCATCGAACATGTGGATGAGCAAACTGAGAACTGAACGAGGCAGAGAAGAACGAGAGAGAGCATCCCAAATTACTCGACGATCCACGGTATCATACGCTGATTTGATGTCTAGGAAAGCAACCACAGGATAGTGAT